CATTCCATACTTTCTCTAAATATAATCCCATCTCCAACATTTAAGCTGTAAGCTAGAATACATCTAAATACCATCTATAAAACGTCTTATAAAAAATTTTCTCTTAAATTTTACACTTGAGTTTTTCCTTCACTTTCTTCACTCTTGAGTCAATACTTTCAAAGAAGTCTTCTTATCTTTCATTGGATCAACCACACCATTCCGATCACCCAGCATAGTCCAATTGAATTATTTTCTTATGCAGAAACCTATAAAATTGTTTTTATTGCTCGTTTAATACATATAGGCCAATGCCTTCTTCTTCAAAGCTGGAGAAATAAAATGAAATCCCAATCTCGAGTTGATCAAATGTTTTGAATCTCAGCGTCAACAACTTAACCATCCTTTGGCTTGTGGAGCTTATTGAGCATTCCCTGCAGATCTGTCGTTACAGATCTCTTTGGCCTCGCCCCTCCCACTGGCTCCGAGGTCAGTGAATATGTTATGGATACAACTTTTTTGTTGCACTTTCTCTTTACGCCTATAAGCGGCACGGGTCATTCTTTGCTCCTTTGGATTCACTCCCAACTTTTGTTGATTCTGAAAATCTCCTACAGATGATGACATAGCCCCAGGCAGTTCCACAACAAGTTGCTCCATCAAATCTTCCTTTGCTTTAGATGTCGATGATGATGATAAATCAGCTTTCAGGACCGATAAATAAAAATCTTTAGCTTTTTGAACCGTATTTAATCTGTATCTGGTCCCCACATAATTTACCACAATACCAAAAGGAATCTCCCATCTAAAGGGCATCTGCCGCTTCTTTAACTCCTGAGCCAAAAAAGTAAAATCCTTTCTTCCTCTTAAAATCTTAGAAGGTATTTCTTTTAAGAGTATAATATCTTGTGCAGCAATTTGAAATTTCTGCTGATAAAAAAGCTGTATAATTTCATTACGACGTACTCTTGTGGTAAAATAAACAACAACATCTCTAGGTATATTTCTCTGACGTGCAACCCAGGAATTTACTCTAAAAATTTTTTCTATTTCTCCACATATCACATCTGGGTTGCAGTCCAAAACCAGGCCAGAGCTGTGACTATTTCTTCCTTAAGTTTCTCTTGTAAGTCCTCCTTAAGACCCCTCAGAGCAAATTCCATTTCTCTGTATTGTGACATTACCATATCATTTTGAAGAATTTCCACTCCTTCTTCTACTTTCTCAAGTCTATCCTCTGCTCTTTCCATTTTCTCCACTAATTCATCTACCCGACCCTCTATACGATCAACATGAACTGCTAGTCCTTGAAAAATGTGTGATATATTTTCACAAAGTTCCTGATTTTTCTTATCAAGAAGCTCTTCTGTTTGTTTCACAGTCTGCATGAGGACTTAGCTAAAGCCTCTTGTAGATCTTTAAGTGTAATGGAAGGAGGAGGTGACGGTGGGGGAGATCTAGGTTTTTGTTGTTGAATTTGCACAACTGGAGAAGAAATAGCTGTTTTAGGCAATGCAGAAACTCCAGTACGTTTTGAAGCCATTCTGCCAAATTATTTTTAAAACTCACAACAGCAGGTATAAACTTAAAAAAGCTTGACTTAAGAAAAATTCTTTAAAGTCCTTTAGAATGTATCATTCCACAACCGGAAAAAGAGTGAAAGTTTTCCTTTTGTTACAAAGAAACAGCGCTTCCGCGGCCATTTTCTTCTCACTTTCACTTATAGCAAATAGCAAAAGTCCCAGTAAAATCTTTGAGTTAAAGTCACAATTTAACTAAAGGCACTCCGAGCTGCGGAGGAAGGTCCGGACTCCAGGGGAGTTCATAACCTTCATCCCCCCAGGATCGTTCCTGGGGGGACTAGGGAACTCAACCCCTATCCAGACCGAACTCACTTTCTCCCCTTTGCCCGGGGAGAAAGTTCCAAGCCGCAAAACAGCTGATCCGCGCTGTTTTGACAGGCTTTGACGCAGTCCCGGGCGGGAGGCTAAGAAAAAGCCTCCTTCGGCGAAGCCTCGCCACCGGAAGTCCGATATAGAAGAAATTTCATGTGAGAAAACGATTCAATATATGGAAAAAAATAATTTACCAAAAATTTCAGAAAACATTAAAACCATGTTAAATGAAACACCGGGTCCAGATGTGCTCCCGGCAGAGTTGTACAAATGCCTACAAGATACATTAAGTATACCGTTGAAAGATTGTGTAATGAACTTTTATTGGAGGCTAAACTCCCAAACACATGGACAGAAGCAAATATTACTTTGACACCAAAAAAGGACTCAGACCTGACACAGATAAAAAATTACAGACCGATATCATTACTAAATGTGGACTATAAAATCTTCACTTCAATAATAACGAAGAGACTGAAAAGATTTCTAACTGAATTTATACATCCAGATCAAAATGGATTTCTACCAAAGAGACAAATAAAAAATAATTTTAAGAGTTATAATGGACATATTGGAATATTATGAAATGCATCCAGGGAAACAATTGGCAATAGTATTTCTAGATGCCCAAAAGGCATTTGATAATGTTTCCTGGCAATTTATGACTCAACAACTAAAAACAATGGACTTTGGACAAAATTTTATAAATATGATTAAAACAATATACCACAAACAGCGAAAGTGATTGTAAATGGAGATTATACAGAGAATTGTGACATAAGAAAAGGCACAAGACAAGGATGTCCACTATCTTCATTGTTATTTATTTTAACTTTGGAAATTTTAAATAGAAATATTAGACAAGACCCAGAAATTAAAAGACTAGAAATAAAAGGTGAAACTTATAAATTGCAAGTATTTGCAGATGACTTGGTATTTATCCTAGAGCCGTGATGGCGAACCTATGGCACACGTGCCACAGGTGGCACGCAGAGCCCTCTCTGTGGGCACGCGCACCATCACCCCAGTCCTAGGTTGGGTTTTATAAAACCTTTTTGCTTTAGGCCTCCGCCACCGTGTGCAAAAAAAAAAAGTTCAATTTCAACTTCTCGCGGGGAAAAAAAGATTTAGCAAAGTTGGAATTGATTGAACTTTTTAGTCCCACCCAGTCTGCCGTTACCACCGCAGCCACACCCACCCAATGGGCCACACCCACCCAATGGGCCACACCCACCCAATGGGTCACGCCCACCTGGCACCCAACAATACATAAGTGGGTTTTGGGTTGCAGTTTGGGCACTCGGTCTCTAAAAGGTTCGCCATCACTGTCCTAGAGGAACCTTTAGAGATGATTCCTAAATTATTGGAAAAGATAGAACAGTTTGGAGAGATAGCAGGACTGAAGATAAACAGAGAAAAAACTAAAGTTATAGTTAAAAATCTTACAGATAAAACAAAAAAAAACAATGTCAGAAAAAATTGAATTACAAATAGTCAAAAAAGTTAAATACTTGGGAATATACCTGACAGCAAGATGTTCAACGATAAGAGAAGATAACTATATAAAATTACTGAATTAAATAAAACTTGACTTAGAAAAATGGAAAAACTTGCAACTGTCAATCTTAGGAAGAATTGCTACGGTGAAAATGAATATATTACCAAAAATATTGTTTTTATTTCAAACGATACCTATGAAACTGGAGAAATTGTTTTTTGAAGACTTAAATTCTCTAATTTTAAAATTTATTTGGCAAGGAAAGAAAGCTAGAATTAAATTGAAAATGTTACAAGAAGCTAAGGAAAATGGAGGTTTTGGCTTGCCATAATGGGTTTTATATTATCAAGCATCAGCACTAACATGGGTAAAAGAACGGATAACTCTTAGAAATAAAAGGTTGTTGTATTTGGAGGGACATGACTTACAACTCAGTTGGCACACTTTCCTATGGTATGGGAAAAATAAAATTCATAAATATTTTGAAAACCACTATATTAGAAATGCATTATTACTAACATGGGGGAAAATAAAATGTAAAATATACTTGAAAATTCCAGGATGGCTTTCAACAATGGAAGCATTTGTACATCCAAATTTAGTCAGTCTTGAGAAAATATGGACATATAAAGATATTCTAAACTCTGAAGGGAATTTAAAATCTAAACAAGAGATGGAAAATCAGGGTACTGATCTATCATGATGGGCATATTTACAAATGCAAGTGAGATATGAGAAAGATGTTAAATTTTACAGATTTTATAAAGAGCAGACCTTGTTTGATCAGATATTATTAACCTCTGATGAGAAACCAATTAAGAAAATGTATAACTTTTTATTGAATTTGAAAAGGAAAATGAACAAGTAAAAAAAACAATGATAACATGGGCAAAGAATTTTGGATACAATACAGACTTAGAGAAATAGCAAAACTTGTGGGAAAGAAATTATAAATTGACAACATCAACCTCTTACAAAGAAAAACCATATTGGACAAAACAGAATACTTTCAAATTTGGGACTTATTTTATCAATGGCTGGAGAAAATAATAAGTGATTAGGAATTCAATTTGTATTAGTGAATGATAAACTCAGACAATACATTTGTTGAAATAAGTACTTTTGAATTGTAATAAAAATCAATAAAAATTTATAAAAAAGAGGTGGTGACCCTTTGAGAGCTGAATGCATCGAAATTTCAATTTAATGTATGCAGATTAGTGTACATTCAAAGTGACAATAAAGTTATTATTATATTCTAAATAGAGCCCCAAGTTCCACAAATCTTTCAGGAGGTGAAAAGTCAATCACCTACAGTCAGCATCAATTCCAATAAAACAAACTGCAAAATGGAAAGAAGAAAAACAAAAGGAGAAACAACAAGCAAATAAAATAAAATGTGAAAGTACATGGCCTTGAATACCCATTACTGAGGTGGTGGATATTCTGCTATCAAATAACGACTAAGGAGAAATAATAGGAGTTACAACTTTAGAGCATACTGACTCCAAAGATAAAAGGATGGCCTTCCTACTAAGTAAATTCACTTCCAAAACTTTCTGAGTGGCACAAATACAGACAAATAACATAACCAAGAATTATCAAGTTTCTCAATTCTTTTCACTTACCTTCACAAATATCATGGGGAGTGTCTGTTTGGCTCTACTATAATGCCTTGCCACTCTGTATACTGTCTCAGGAACATAGTCCAACACCAAATTAAGATATACCTCATCTTTCTGGAAAGGAGAAAAAGCAAGAAAACAAGAAAAACAATAATAAGGTATCTATCATAACATTCATTACTATTATAGCGTAGTATAATAGTATAGTAGTATAATAGTATAGAAATTTTTAATAACTTTTTGCTAAAATTTGTTATCTGACAAATGCAAATTTGACTTATGCAACTATTTATCATATAGTTTTTTATTTAAAACAGAGGTATAGAGATATGAATATTATGAAGTAATCTCATTTACTACATTAAAGGGAAAGAATAAAAAAGAGGGAAAGTGACCAAAGAGCTCACGAGGAACTAGATAGTGAAATATATTGTAAGTATGTTATAACCCTCCCCCAACATTTTAAACATTCAAAATGTAACCTAAAAACAGATTCTATTCCCTGAAGGTACACTTACCTTTTGACCTATAGCAGGGGTATCAAACTGCCAGCCCATGGGCTGGATGCATCATGGTGAAACCGCGCCTACCCCATTGCCAGTAATGGAAAAAAAGTTGTGATACCTCACGTGACATTGCGAGTTTGACACCCCTGACCTATAGTGTCATGATGTAACATTTACTTAACTATTAAGAGGAGGTCTGCTACTAGTTAGAATATCTCTTTCTCTTTATCCACTTTAATCAGCTTCTTTCTCAAAGCATAAAGATTAATGTAGTATTTCACAAGAATGAGAAGTATATGTGTTGCTTTCAACTACATGTTTGTTCCACCAAAACGAGCCAGACTGCAAATATTGCTTCAAACATCCTGTCTTCTATGTTTTTTTTAATAAACTACTTTAAAATATGTCATGTATTGATTTAACAACTAGCCAGCTTATGTAATGTAAGACGTAATAATGGGAATGACTCGGCAGGGTCTGTGTCTCTTTAAGAGCCTTTGAATAAAGGGAAGGCTCTGCTGATGTGTTCTTGCGTACATTTATTACACAGGAGGTTAGGTTATGCAAGTTTTAGAGTGCTGCAATGGATGCCAGATCTAGCTGAAGGACTACCCATTAAGCCAGGGGTGTCAAACTGCCGGCCCACAGGCCAGATGCATCATGCCGAAACCACGCCCACCCCATTGCCAGCAATGGAAAAAAGTCACGATACATCATGACACGTCATGTGACGTTGCAAGTTTGATACCCCTGCATTAAGCAATGCTATTTATAAGGAGTCAAAGTCCAGAGTATATCCTGTAAATAAGAAAAGCTCAAGGCAAACAAACAGAGTTTTGCAGTTAGTGCACGCTGATTTAATTGGTCCTATGGTGCCCTCTCTAGGAGGGGCTAGGTACATACTAGTCTTAGTAGGTGACTAAACCAGATATGGGTTTTGCTATTTATTAAAGAGCAAAACAGAAATTCTACAACAGTTCAAGCAGTGGGTGAATTGTGTAGAGCAAAGATATGGCCATAAAGTATACCAGCTGCAAACAGACAGGGGGACAGAGTTCATGTCTGACAATTTCCAAAGGTGGCTGAGGAACTTAGGCATAGAAGTACAAATCCGTACTCACCAGCAAAAAATGGGAGTGGCTGAATGGAGGAATGGCGTATTGCAAACCATGAAAGACTCATTGCTGGCAGATGCAGGAATGAGTAAAACGTTCTGGGGGGGGCACTATGAAAACAGCCACCTAGCTAGTATATAGGGTATGGAGTGTTACTTTCAATGAAACTCCATATTATCTGTTATATGGAAGGAAACCTTCATTGGCTCATCTAAGGACATTTGGCAGTTATCCTTGGGTGCTATTCCCAAAAGCACCAGAAGGAAGGGACAGAAAAAGGCCAGGAAACTTAGGTTTGTTGGATATGAGCCAGGTTCCAAAGGGTATAGATTCACAGATGGAACAAAGAAGGTTGTGATTTCAAGGTCTACTAGTTTTGCAAAACAAAACAATTGGGACAGGGTGTGTGCTAACACTGAGGTGTTCACACCAACACGTAGTGCTAGTTCTCAGGAAGGAGAGGCTACACAAAGCCCAATGAAGGAAGAACAGAATAGCAGCTCAGAAACAGTAGGAATAGAAGAGGATAGACCTGAGGTAAAGAGAGAAGTCGCAGAAACACAGGAACAGATGATACTGAGGAGGTCTGAATGTAGCAATAAAGGCGTACCTCCTGATTGGTTCTCAGCAAGTCAGGTATAGCAGACATGTCAAACTCACGATGTCGCGTAACGTATTGGGACAGTTTTGCCATTGCTGGCAATGGGGTGGGCAGGGCTTCCGCGTGATGCGTCCAGCCCAGTTTGACACCCCTGGCGTATAGTGTAAGGTATGAACCCCGTAATTACCAAGAGATGTTATCACTACCTAAAGTAGAACAGGATAAATGGAAGGAGGCTATGGACAGAGAAATGGAGTCTATGAATGTGCATCAGGTGTTTACCCTTATGAGATTAACAGAAGGATAAAAGGCCGGGGGTGCAAATGGCTATATAAAAAGAAGGTTTTACACAATAATGAACTGCAGTATAAGGCACGGTTAGTTTTGCAAGGATTTACATAGAGAAAAAATGTTCATTATGATGAAGTGTTTGCACCAACAGTAAGAGGTGAGACCATAAGGCTAGCATTGGCTTTAGCAGCTGCACGCAGTTATACCATATATCATTTCGATATTACGACTGCATATTTAAACACTGAATTAGAGGAAAATATATATATATGACACAAGCTCCAGGTTATGAAACTAAGCACCCTGGATATGTATATAAACTGAATAAAGCCATATATGGGTTAAAACAGTCAGCAAGAAATTGGAATCAATGTTTAGATGCTGCTCTCAAAGAGTTAGGTTTTAGAAGCAGCAAGGCAGATCCATGTTTGTACACTGCACAGTATAAGGGCGCAGAATGTTTCCTGTTAGCTTATGTTGATGACTTGTGTTTTATTACTAAGAATCGCTCCCAGGTTGACTCCTTTTTCAAGCAACTTGAAAAGAAGTTCCAGTTAAAAAGCCTGAGGGAAATAAAGAATTATCTAGGTGTGGAGATAAGAAAACCAAAACAGGGAGGATATATGTTAAGCCAAACAAGGAAAATAAAACAAGCTGTTAGGAAAGTATGATATGCTAGGCTGTAACAGTGTATTAACGCCTATGACACCAAGCTTCCAAAATGATATAGCAGACAACACAGAATGTGACCAAGAAGTGTACCATTCAGCTATAGGTAGCTTATTGTATTTGTCCCAATGGTCAAGACCAGATATAGTCAATGCGGTTAGCATTTTGAGTCGGCACACTTCAGCACCCAAACAACAACACTGGTTAGGGATAAAAAGAATATTCAGATATTTAAAAGGCACAATGAACCTAGGGCTAAGGATAAGGCTATCTGATGGCTTATCATTACAATGCTATGTAAACAGTGACTAGGCAAATGAAATGCATGACAGAAAGTCAAACTCAAGGTTTGTGATATTGTTTGCTGGCACCCTAATTGGATGGAAGTACACAAAACAACCTTCAGTAGCACTGCAAACTGCTGAAGCTGAATTTATAGCATTGTCTGAAGCATGTTCTGAATTAATCTGGTATGTCCAAATTACTAAGAGATGTACATATTGATGTAAAAACTGTGCCAATATTTGAGGACAATGCTGCATGTATAAAGATGGCAACGGGAGAACACATTGGAAGCAGAAGCAAACATGTAGATATAAAATATTATAACATCACGGAGACTGTAAAAGATAAACTGATAAAGTTACAGCATTGTTCCACTGACAACAATATAGCCGATACGTTGACTAAGCCTTTAAATGCAGGCAAGCATCAAGAGTATGAAAAGGCATTTGGGTTGACAGCTGTTTAGCTTTAAATGGGAGGAGTGTCAGGGTATTAATTTAACAGCTAACCAGCTTATGTAATGTAAGATGTAATAATGGGAATGACTCAGCAGGGTCTGTGACTCTTTAAGAGCCTTTGTATAAAGGGAAGGCTCTGCTGATGTGTTCTTCTTCCGTTTCCTGCTGTAACTGTGGTTTGTTGGATTCTGCTGTACTAGTTCATGTATGTATATTATTCCTGGTGTATGATATTGTAGATAGTGTAAGATAAACCACCATTTACTATAGACCATGTTTACTGTGTTTACTCCTGGGTTATTTCGCACAATAAGACTGCATGCTCTGACAAAATACATTCTGCTTTTGTGTACGCATTATGTGTATGCATTCAGCCATCCCCTACTTTTGTTGTCAGATAATGAATTTTCAAACAGACAGACACTTTGGTCTGTTGCTTGCATTTGTTCTACACATCTGTTGACATTCTAGAATATCTTTTTTTCAACTTACCTTCTCTCCACTGGAGTAAAAGAAATAACGTAATCTGACAATGTTACAATGATCAAGCTTTCTCATGATTTGAAGCTCTCGATTCTAAAAAAAGAAAGGATATTATTTAAAAGGTCATTTTCTAAAATCTTATCACTTCATATGATTTGCTATAGGGCTTGTACATTTTGTCAGTCTGAAAAAAGATACAATATATTCTGCATTGATTTTTACTGAAATAACATGTAGTATGAATTTTTTTTAGACACTTAGACAATATGTTCAGTATTTTAAATCATTTAAAGTATATGTTAACAAAATAGGTTCAAATAAAATTAAAGCACCATAAAATTACCAGAAAAATTGGAAAGTTTAACCCAGTATTTCTCAATTCCTAAGAAAATGTGTGTCAACGCTGCAAATACTGTATATTCTTGCTTTGACAATATGCAGAACTGTCTGGTATTTATATAGTTAAACCAGCAACTGGGAAAGAGGGAGAGCATAAGGATAGCCCGGGAGAAAGAAACCGGAAGTAAATCACATCTTCCAAGTTGATTGGAAGATGTGAACCATGACCCTACAATAAGGGAGTGGGAAATGCTTGGAATGTATATGCATAGGAAGAGAAGCCAGACCTAAGCATTTCCACTATGCTGTACTGACGTCTTTGTAACCTTAATAAATGCTTTTAGGAAAAAATATGCCTGAAGGTCCTTTTAAGTGTTTCGTTAATCAGACACATGACATCATGCTTAGGTCCGCCCTCATTTTAAAACAATCTGGGGTCCCTAACCCCATCCACTGCCTCAAAGTTTGAGAGGTACTGGTAAAGATTTGGGGAAGATTTGACATGAAGGAGAAAAAATTGTCTGAGACCAGCCTCCTCCTGGCTGCAGCAGTTTCCCCAGGGGGGGGGGAAGCGACAGCCGGCAAGCCGGGGGAGAGAGGAATTTGGCAGATTTCCCAGCTGGGAGCGAGGCCAAAACTATCAGAAGAACGGACTTGGTCGTCAGACTGTGATAAGCCGAGCGCAGGCTCTGGAGGAAGCCACACAGCCTGGCCAGCAGAAACGGTGAGTCACTGTCCTGAAGACGGAGGGAATCCCAAATTGAGGCCTTTCCAGCAATGGGCACTGTGGCTTAATCAGCAGCAACTGAGCTTACCACAGCTAATAGAGGCCTTACGGCAGCTTGAGGTGATGCAACAGCCAGGAGAACTACAGCCGGTCAGCTTGCAGATGGGGGAGGCCCAGCATGTCCAGCAATCATTGAGGGGCCTACAACAGCAGAGGGCATCACCACCCCCTGCAGTCCAACAGCAGAATACACCACTACAAACCCCACTTGCACAGTCACCATTGGGAGGCCTGCAGCAGCAGGGGGCACCACATCAACAGCAGGGAGCCCAGCAGCCATGGGACCAACAACCGGGGTGGGGCCAGCAGCAACAGCCCCAGTGGGGACCGCAACAGCCTGTTTTTGCACCACCCTTCAATGCAACCTTCGATGGAGACCCAGAGAAGCTGATTTTTTTTCTCAACCAAGGGCGCTCTCACTTGAACCGCTGGGCCTACCACNGTGCCATGGTCGACGTATTTGCATCCAACCTAGAGGGAGAAGCAGCTGAATGGCTGAATAATTTATATAGTGAGCAAGCCCCCGAATTGGAAGATCCCCACCTTTTCCTCTTAGGTCTGAAAGAACGATTTGAGGACCCATCCATAGGCCTCAAAGCAGCAAGACAAATTCACAAAATAAAACAAGCCGGGAGGCCTGCGCTTGAGTACGTGTGAGAGTTCCGCAAGTTAGCAGGCCGAACAGAGGGGTGGTCCGAGCAATCCCTGGTTCAATACTTTGTTGAGGGATTGGATGATCACCTCTCTCAGGCTTGAATCTATCGAGAAGTACCTGATCGGCTACAGGAGTGGTACCAGACAGCAGTGAAGCTAGACGTTAAGCTCTCTCGCTATAAGAAGCCTCCCCCACACGAACCCGAGCAGCAACCAGAGCTACCCGGACAGCAATCACCCCCACGAAAGCCCTCAACTACGGCAATGGCTGAAAGACCCAGGCCACCAACACGCCCTTCCTTTAAGTGTTTCCGGTGTGGACAAGAAGGACATCGAGCGGCCACCTGTCAAATCCCCTACCCCCGACGGCAGAGCAGACAAGAACCAGCAATGCGAAAGAAACCTGCTCAGCAGCTAACGAGAGAAAAATCCAACCGGTTCACGCAAGAACCTGTCGCCCAGATTACACCCCACACACAGGAGGACGCTGGGACTCCGGTTGGACCCGCCCCTGCTCTACCCTCCTTTGACAGCGACAATGAAGGAGAGAACGACCCGATGGTGAGTCAACAAATCCCGCCTTTTTCACTGGCCGCCAAGCTTATAATCCCTAAGTCTGGGGCACAAATGGACTTAAATGTGCTATTTGATACTGGATGCACCCGCTGCATTATTAGTCAGCAGTTTGCAATGAGAATGGGCATACGGGCAAAACAGCTTTCCAAACCGGTAAGGTTTGAGCAAGCCGATGGCTCCCTGATGGGAGGGACTCTTGTCACACAATTAACTGAGCCCTTACGCCTAAAATAGGTGCAAACTGGGAATTTATTCGTTTCCTGGTGGCTCCAAAAATGACTGAGACAGTAATTCTAGGGTTAGCCTGGTTAGACAAATGGAAACCTTTCATCTGGTGGGAGAAAGGAATGAGAACCATGAGACTACCAATAGGGCCTAATCCCCCTCTTGAGTCAACGGATGTTGCAGGGCACCTTAGGCCACCCAATGAGCAAGCGCA